CTGTAGAGCAGCACAGCACAAGCCTGTGCTGTGGCTTGTCCACAGAACCTGGGGCAGCCCCAGGGACACTGGGACTGCTCCCTACACTGCCCCAGGGACCCCTGCCCTGAGCCCTGGAGACAGCTGTGTCCCAAGCAGACCGATGGTGCAATCAGTGGGATCACCCTGACAATAGCTGTGTGGGCTGGGGTTTTCTGAAGCTGTGCACAACAGATTAAGCTTGAGTCCCCTGTTGTCATTGCTGGGCATTGTCAGCACCCTGCTGACATTGGCTTCTTTGGGCCAAACTCTGCCCACAGCCCAGCAGGAGCTGGAGAGGGGGGGAAATTTTTCCATCTGAAATGGAGCAGGAGGGTACTTGCACACAGTGGATTCCTGCTCCATTCAGGCATCTCCTTTCATTTACAAGGGGATGAGTTGTGTTTGCTTTAACATTTTCTCACCCATCTCTTGAAAATAGGTGAGCAGGTCTCAGATGGGCTGAGAGAGGTGATCCTGCCCTGAGAATTTGATGCCAGCTGGGAATTGTGAAAAAGTCTGAAATGCTGCAGGATCTCTCTTCTGTCTGTGTCTTGCCCCAGGGACAGCAACCCCCTAGTTTGGTCTGGTGAGGAGGAAACGTGAACCCAGCTCTGCAGCAGCCAGCAGTGCTTTGGGAGGTGCTCAGGAACAGTCATGATGAGCAGAAGGACAGTAGCAGGAAAGGCCAGGCTGAAGGCTCCTGTCTATGCAGACCAGTTTCCCTCATCCCTTCAGGGGACCTGGGACATGCCCTTGTAGCACAAGAGTCAGAGGCCAGATCTGCTCTCCCCAGAGCAGCCAGGTCCTCGCACGGTGTCCTGTGTGTCCCACAGCCCCTCTGAGGGAGCTGCTCTCTTATCAGAGCTGGCTCCCACCCACTCCCTGCTGCTGCCCCAACGTGCCACTGCCTGCAGCAGCTGTGAGGCTGTGAACCTCAGCTCTCTAGAGCCCAATAAATTAAACCTTAGTCCAAAAGGGACTTGGGCTGTCTTTTGCAAACAGAGGCTGCACAAAAGCTGCCTTTCTCCCTCTCGTTTGACTTTGTTTTCACTCCCTCCCCATCTGCTTTTAGCCAAATGGTTGAATAGCTTCAGTATATACTGTGGGAGCCTAAAGCCAAAGGCTGGAGCAAGGGGAAGGATCCAGAACAGCAGTGCCCTGTGGCCACTGCCTTCCGGAGGGGCTGGGAACTGTTTGCTACCCTTGCTCTGTAACCCAGCCTCCATCACCTTACTGAACCCTTGGAGAAAGCAGCTCCAAAAGAAAATATTTGTGCTCTGGCAAGCACACGTGTGCACATTTCCTGCTCTTGAAGTCCTTAATTAAGCCTGTTTTTTGTTTGTTTGATTTGTTGGGTGTTTTCTTTCTATTTATGCTGCCACAGTCTTGGAGGGGGAGTCTGTCAGAACCCTGTGTGTTTTCCTGTTTTGGAGGGGGAGTCTGTCAGGTCCCTGTGTGTTTTGCTGCTTTGGAAGCTGCAAAGTGGAAATCTGCCTGTGATAATCACTCAGGGAATCTGCATGTATCAACAGGGGAGTTGGGAACCAGCCAGGCCTTTGATGTTGCTCTGTATGTCAGTGCTGCATTGGGACAGTTCTGCAAATCACCCGGCACAGGGGGGCCTCAGCCCAGCTGTGGCCTCATGACGAGGTAGATTGGGTCTTTGCAGACGTTATTGGAAAGATTCAAGACCAGCACATTTAGTTCAGAGAGACCACCAAGCCTTTTCCACCCAGTTTAGAGTCCTTCTGAGGGACCATGTCATTTGCAGAGATATTGGACCACTTCTGGTAATGCTTTTGGCTTTGAACACCCAGCCCAGGGCAACCTCCAGGTCCAGCTGCACAGCTTTATCTCAAAGAGTAGCTGCTCAGTGCAATGTTGATGCTGACCCCAAAAGTGTTGGGGTATGATCCTGCCCACCAGCCCATCAGTCATGGTGCTCATCACCCCCCAGCTCTGCCACTGCTGTGCCTGGGCTGGGAACAGGCAGGCAAGCGAAACTGGAAGCCTGGGCCGAGTTGTTTCTTACAGCAAACATTTAAAAGCACAGTAAGACTAGAAAATCCCCCTCTTTTGGTAATGAATCCCCCATGTAACCATGTAACACGTGTCTTAACACCCAGACACGCCACACCTGCGAAATTCCTGAGATAGTTGCAAAAGGAACCCTTCTTTACCACCCTGAAATTTCATAGCAATTTATCTCTCCAAGCCACCAGGAATCACCATCTGCAGGCACTGAGGGGGATCTCCTGCCCCTTGCCTGCTTTCTGCAGCCTGCGGTGCTATTTTGGAAATTTACTGGGTGGTTCGACTGAGTACAACTGCTCCTTTGGCTAAAATCATCCCCTGCCTGTCATCAGGTAATTAGAAACTGCCCAAAAGCCAGTGGTGCTTAAGGCAGCCCCGGGATAACCACAGCTTTTCTTTTGTGGATAAAGGACTGGGCTTTGGAGGCTGTAGACTTTTCCACCGAAATTAGATTTTTGTTTAAAAGCAGGGGAAAGTAACACTGGGTGAAAAATGACACCCAGCCCAGCAGCAATGCTGCAAACACACAGAGAGGGGTGAGAAAAGCAAATGCTGCCTGCTGGAAACACCGTGGAGGGAGGTCGGGAGGAAAGATCATTTTGAAGCAGGGGAAACAAAAGAACTTTTAAAGCCTGTCCCTCAGGGTTTGCCCAGTTCTTACTGGTGCTGCAGCTACAGGCAGTTTGTGGATTCTCACAGTTCAGCTGGAGCTGGGCTGAGGCCCTTCTGAAGAAACCAGAAGTGAAGAAATTAAGCAAAAAGAAAAAAAGAAACCAGCAGTGAAGCCTCCCTGCAGCTGGGATGACATATTCATGGATGGCAATGCACCATGCACCTCACCAGCTGCTCATCATGCTGACACATCACTCTTTCAGCAGGTCACTGCAATGTCCTGCAGAGCCTGGGTGTCTGTGGTACAGGAAAGCTCCTTTTCCAGGTGCCACCCTTTCCTGTTTGTGTTGCAAACTGAGCATTTCCTTGTCTGAAAACAGCCTCACAGCCTCAGTGTCTGGCATATTGTTTCCTGCGGAAAATAGCGTGGCCACGTTATCCATGTGGGCTTGTCAGGGTCCCTCTCCATGAGATGCAGTCAAGTTCAGGCTAACATGATAAATGAAGATGTTCCAGCTGGGCAGTGGTGGAACAAAGAAACTCTCCTTAGGTAGTGACTCTCTTGTTCTTTTAGTCTATGAAGTTGTTTTTCCTCCCAAAGCTTTCCCATAAACCTCTCAGGCAGCCACCCTGCAGGCCTGCAGCTCTGTTCAGACTCAATCATCTTCCCCAACTTCCCTATCCCAGCTGTATTCAGCCCAAATGCAGCCCACACTCCAAAGTGAGAACTGTCACAGGGTGCTATTACTCAACAGGCCAGAGCTTAAAGCAGTGTCCGGGCTCTCTGCCCACACTGAACAACAGAGGGGAGAGCTGGGGGACTGCAGCCCTGCAGGTGGGTGCTGGAGCTGTGGGTGTCTGCATGAACCTCCTGGCTGGCCGTGGGTACAAACCTTGCCTTGTCTGCCTCAGAGATAAGCAGGCTTTACCCAAAGCAGAGCAAGGCAAAGGGAGCAGAGCAGCCAGGGGAGCGTGCACAAGCTGCACCCCAGACACCAAGGACGAGCAGCCTGGTTTCAGCAAGGCAGAGTGGGAGCTGTCCTGTGTGGGCACCACACTGCCACTGCCACTGCCAGCCTGGCAGACAGCAAGTGCCACAAGGACTGCTGGCTCCAAGGCCACTGTGCCTTGCAGCTCCTCACCAGGCTGCCAGCACACGTCCTCCCCCAGCCACTGGCACCAGAGCTCAGCCACCAGCACCGCCTGGGCACTGACCAAGCCTGGGAGGAGGAGGAATGCAATAAATAATAACTGAGATTGGCAAACACCAGCTCAGGGCAGCAAGGGCAGTCCAGGGAAAGGGATTCACTCACTCCCCAGGACCCTGGAAGGGTCACACTGGGCATCTGACTGCATGGACACAAAGCAAAAATAGGTTGTGGTTCTGGGTCTTGGCTCTGGAAACTTCCTGCCAAACTGGGAGACTTTAAGGCAAGAAAATAAGGCAATGATGTTGCACTTGTAGCCTTTAGCTTCCCTTAATTTAAACAGTAATAAAAAGTGTCTGTAACACATTCCTTGAAGTGCCTCTCCAGCCCCATGCAAGTGCATCTACAGCAATTAATCATGCTTGGATCAAAGGTAAAGAAGGACTTTGAAGCAGCAAACGACTCTAAGAAAGAATAAATTGCAATTATGTCAAAACAAATCTAAATTAGTTGCAAAAAATCTCTAAAATATAGAGTAACCTTTTCCTCCAGTCTTTAGTTGCTTTTCCTCTCTGTAGAGCAAGCCCTGTGTGACTGGTAGGTGTGGGAGACATCTCGGGTGTGAAACAAGGGACACCAGACTGGAACACACACACATGCAATCCCTCCACTGGGCTGAAAACCTGAATGAAATTAAAGCAGCAGTACAGTCCAGAAGACTGGTCACTGGGCCAGGAAATAAGAGACCTTGGATATGCCCACACCCTTCTCCTTCCTCTATCCCTTCTGTATTTCTCATCAGCTCAGGCATTCTCTTTTGCACACTTGTGCCTCAAGGCCACATCGAGCTCAAAAGGACATTTGGTTATCCTTGGCTTACAGGGGCTGCAAAAAAGTCCCTTCTTCCCAATACTTGCATCCCAAATGGAAAGTTTGTTTGTTCTGTGATGGAAAAACAACTTCCAAGATGCAGATTCCCTGAATCTAAGTGACATTCAAGCACTTAGTTTATCAGTTCTCCTGAGATGTGTCCCTCAGGCAGAGGTTGCAGTCATCTTCTACGGACAGCTGCAATTTCCTGGGAGACCTGTCTTGCATGGAAAGGGGAGTTTTCCGTCCCTAAAAGCCACCTCTTTCACAGAAAACCACTCAAAGCAGTACAAAGACACACAGGACACACAGACATGCACTGGAAGTTCAAAGCAGCACCTCGATTTACTGTGGGACTAGAAACAATAGAAACCAGAACAACTAGAAACTAGAAACCTCCTCCCACAGACCCCTCCACACCCAGAGCCCAAGACCCAACTGTTTCCTCCCACCAGTCCCCTGCCTTCCAACATCTGGCAAAGGTCAAACGACACAGCAACTTGGGAGACATGCAGACAGTTAAGCCACCTTTTTGCTGAAGTCATGTTTGAGTTCCTGCAAAATAAACAAACAAACAAACAAATAAATAAATAAATGGGAAAGAATTCCAAGGCCCAGAGGAGATAACGTTATACAGGCGTGCCCTCTGCCGGTCAAACAGGAAGAGGGCCAAAGGAAATCTATCCATCAGAGCCAAGGATTTGTAACTCCCCTCTCTCCTCTTACCGATGAGCCCCTAAACATATTCCCTATGTGGTGTGCAAAATTTAAATTTACTGGATTTTTAGCCTGACTGCTGAAGTGATCTTGCAAGGGCAGTCCAGCGCCCCACTCTCCTTTGTTTTGGGCCTTAAGATCTTTGGATAAGTCAAAGAGCTTCAGTTAAAATGCAACAGGAAAAAAAAGGCATCCAGAGAAATGTTCTGCCACGCTGGCCAGCTGAACTGACTCACCAGCTGCCTTGATGTCATATAAGGAAAGAAATGGGAAAACTGGGCCAGGAAAAGAGACACATCCCCATTATTTGAGAATGACTTTGCTGTAATAATTAATTCTACAGGCACTTGACACATAGCCTACAAGTCCCTGCAAGCTGTAAGAGCCCTTGCAGTCAACACTAGGAAACTGAAATACACTGTAAACTATTTGAGGCACTGATCAATTCAGAGCATGCCTCTCTCTGTTGAAGTGGGGCTGTTATTTGATTACAGCTATGATTTTAAACAATTTATAAGAGCTTACTCAAATGATACAAACTGCAGATTTAAATCTGTTGTCAGCCTATTAAACAAAGCAGATCTATGGCACACACATCACTATCAGCTCAGCTCTTTCTTGTAGCAGTTTAATTCCTGCTGGTATAAATCCCTGATTTAATTTACTGACTGGGAATTAAAACAGCATGAACTGGTTTCAGTGCATCTGTGCTGGGTATTTGTGATGATCCAACTAGACCATTAAAAAAAATGTCACTGGATCAGAAAACTCCACTGACCAAATTCTTAGGAGATGTCATGTAATAATTTTAGGAGATGTCATGTAATAATTTTGCACACTAAGGAACAATACATACAGTGAGTGGGCAGACCTCTCCCACTTTATTCTTTTCCACTGAAATTGAACCTTGTCTGCCAATATATTTTACAGTCAGCAGAGTTTTGTACATGTCTTCATAATGCTGGAATTCTGGGAAGTTGCACAGGCTGCAGCAATCAGGCTGTCACTGGAGTAGACAGTTGGCCAGGGAATGTGTGTACTGGGAGCTTTTCTGAAACCGAACATTTTACATCCAGAAGAGTGCCAGGGAGCTGCTGTTTTTCCATCCTAGAGTTTAGTGGAGGATTAACAGCATTATCAAGAGAATCAGCTGTTGGAGGTCCTTGTGCTAAGAGCACACACAGCATCACACCCCTAAAGGGGTTTTGTGTCCCATCACCCTCCCTGCTATTGCTGGGGCCCACCACCCTTTCTGGCCAGCTGTTAAGTGTGTTTGGGATTTCTTTTCATGCACAATAAGCTCTGGCAAACTCTAGTTTCACCTGGGAATGGCACAGAGGCTGTGTTCTACCTTTCCACTACAGCCAAGGCTGGGATCACATGGGCTGTGCAGAATAGCTAATGGGTCCCTGTGTGTGCTCCAGCTGCTTCTCTGATATGAGGGGTTTGCTGAAGCTTGACCTGCAGGTCTTTTTAAATTTGTGCTTTCCAGCAAGATGTCTGTCTTACTCGGAGAGCTGGAAAAAGCTCAGATGTCTCTCTTCCACACTGGATACAGCTGGTATATACCTAGCTCCTCGCAGCAGGCACAGCTACTGTGCAGACTTCTCCCCGAGGTAGGAAGCATTCTTTCCAGTCTTCTTGAGGGTTTCCAATAGGGTGTCAACGCTGAGCTCCGAGTCAATATACACCTTCTTGTTGGGAAGGTCTATCTCAAAGTTGACACCTATGAGGAAAAAAATTTTGCATAGTTAGAAACAGCCAAATGGTGTAAACACAGGCAGAGCTCATCTTCACACGTCTGTGCTCCCCAGGGCGTCAGTCAAATGGACATTTATCTCCTGCCAGCACACTCTGATACCACCACCAGCCAGCAAAACCAACCTGGTGTCCTGCCAGCAGTGCTATGAAGGAGGTCAAAGCATGACTCCATGACTGAAGGTGTCATCAGGCACCACAGTCTCTCGACTGCTTTAATCTCTCACCCCACCTTGGATCAACACAACCATTCATGTAGGAACCAGGATAAGCCGAGTTCAAACCAAGCACTAAAATTTCCATCCAGCTCAGTCTGTGCTCTGGTTTAGTGTGGATAGGGTTAGGAAAGGCTCAGGACAAGATGCTGGTAGTACCACCTAACAGCTGGAAGTAAAAGGAGGGAAAAGACATTTTACCACATGGATTTCCCAGTGGTTAATAAAGATGAACCACTCATCCCAGTGCGAGGAACTGGACATGCAGTCTCTATCCAGTTGTGTGTTTTCACAAAACCTGTAGGTATCAGCTTTGAGAGCTCTGCCACATCATCATATGAGGCTGGTACTGGCCAGCCTGTTGAAGAGTGATGGAGGTGCTGACAACCACACACAGAGAAAATGGGATTGTCACAGCCTAGTAATGGGGTCTGGAAGAATTTTCAAGGCCTTTGCTTAGGTGACTAGAAACTTCTCTCCTTTGGAGGGGAGTAGGTCCTCACAACTGATGAGTGTAGGCCAGACCCTTCTCTTTTGGAAATGCCAACAAACAGGAGATATGGGTTATAATTTTCTAGCTGGTACTAAAAATAGGCTACACAGACAACCACCAAACACTCTGCTCAGCAGCTCTTCACTGTGACTGCTGCTGACACATCTTGGGAAGCACCACAGTCACCCCAGGCTTCCCTGGAAACAAGGCCAGGCAGGACATTCACCTCCCTTCCCTCTGGCAGCCTGAGCAGGGGTCTACCAGTATCCTTCCTAGAGGGTTCAGGGTGAGGCCCTGGTGACTCAGAGCTACCTGCAGCCATGGCAGCTCCTCCCTCCCTTGATACTTCTCCAAGGGTCACAGACCTGCAAACAACCAGAGACTTGTTACCAACTAAGGAGCAAGCTCAGAGCAGAGCAAGAAGTTTCCAGCTTTTAACTTTTACCCACAGCGTTATCCTTCAGGATGGTGGACCCCAGGGCACTGCTCTGGAGCTGGCTGTCCCACACCCAGCACTGACTCACCTTCCAGCCTGTTCAGGACACGGGTGACTGCATTGGAACAGCCTTCACAGGTCATGTCTACGAAGAACTCGTGTTTCTGGAAAGAAAAGAGGCAGTTGAGGGGTCAGGGAGACTCAAGCCAAAAGGACCATACACACCCCACTAAGGGATCCTAAGCAAAACAGAACTCTTGGTACTCCTCCCTATGATGTCCTTGTGCTGTCCCCCACAGCATAATCCTGAGGGGCCTTTGGAGATTGTGTGGCTACCTCCAGAGTCAGCACAAATCACCATCTCCATGGCCTCTGCTACTCAGCTTGTCCAGAGGAGCCAAGGAGAAGCAAATCTCTTGCCTCCAGCTACCTGCTGTCCTGCAGGTTAAATCTGCAAGGTTATCAGTGCTTCCCCATCCTATTCTTCTTGTGTCTACAAGGCTTCTGGTCCTCAACATAATAAATATACAAGCAAAACAGAAATATAAGGACCATTAGTGCTGTTTTCTCATCCCTGCACTCCACTGGGGCCCCAGTGATATCTTCACTGCCTATGCGCAACACTGGGTCAACAAAATGCTGTTGACAGTAACTAACCACTGCCTTCAACCCTTGGTATCAGATGAGTCCTGATTTCCTTCTCTTGCATGACTTTTACTTTCCTTAAAAATGAAAAGTAAAGCTTTTGTTCAATTGTTATATCTCATTTGGAAATATGCAACTCGTATTTCCTTCCTGAACCACCCTGTGCCCCCTGCCACTGTGAGGCTAAAACCCTCTTGAGATCATTCACCCAGGAAGGAGCTTGGGATGGAGGTTCCCATTAGGTTTTCTTCAGTGTAATTGCCATTTCCTTAGTTTTTATTTCTCAAAGGCCCTGTGTGCTTTGGGGAAGTGTGCAGGCGGAGGGGAAGGAGGGTCCCATCAATGCTGTCCTTCCGTGTCCAAGCCTTGGGAGTTGGGGGTGGGCTGGAGTTTGGGGGAGTTTGGAACTAGGGGAACCCTGGGGGGCTGGAGGAGCCTCGGGGTTTGGGAGAGGTGTAAGATCTGGGCGAGCCTTGGGGCGATGGGCGAGCCTTGGGGGTCTGGGGAAGCTTTGAGGGGCTGGGGGAGCCCTGGGGAACTAGGGGAGCACCGAGAACTGGGGGAGCCTCGAGGACGGGGACGGTCGGGGGGTCTGGGAGAGCCCCAGAGGCTGGAGGAGCCTGGGGAGGCCTGGGGAGTCCGGGGGTGCTGAAAGAGCGCCGGAGGCTCGGGGAACCTCGGCG